CTTAAATATTTGCACGTCCTAAAAGGACAAAACATGTTGATCTTTTATTTAATGTAACAACTTATTTACCGTGTTTTATGCAAATAAATGATTCTTGATTCTTGATTCTTTTCCACAAGGCAAAATGATTAAACAATATCACAAAACATATACATAATTTTCCAAATAGCGCGACATTCAATTTCAAATGAATTCAAATTTTCTTTTCAGTAACCAGGCACAACAATCAAATGCAGTGATTAAATATATTTACAAAACATATGCAGCAGCATTTAAAGGAGTAGATTAGAACGTAGAGTAGAAATTCAATTCTTTTAATCACAACCGCTACAAATAGGAAAATTTTGCGGAAAGCCCAAAGCATTTTTTAATTTTAATTCAATGAATTTTTAACTAAGTGTTCGACCAAACCAAATCTTATACCCCTTGACAGCGTGATTCAACGCTCCAGGGGGCCCTAATCTTCCCACCACCAAGTGGAGGCCACACGGCGCGAACCCGAGACCAATAGAGCGCGAACCGCTAACAGTCGCCACTCGGGTTGTACGCCTTCACTGAGGCCGTCGGCAACAGAACATTTTGACAAGTGGACAGTTGACGGCTTAAGGCTCAGTGGAGGCGGCCGTGGTGGGAGCTAAGGCGGCAGCTAGCCAGGGCCGCCTCCATCAAATGGGGAACAGTGGTACACCAGTTGCGGCCTCTCAGCTAACGGGAGTGAGAAGGGTCCAGCGGACCTTTGAGTGGCCGTGAAGTTCCTCTCCACACGCTGATGGGGGGGTGATGACACCCCCACCCCTGGGGACTTCCAAACCTAGGGGCCCGGTGGCTGGCCAGCGGGCGCCGAGAGTCGTCCGGCAGAGGGCATGGCTGAGCGCTCCCGCCCGTGGGGGTCGAGGGCCTGGCACAGCCCCGAGAGGAGACGCCGTTCGCACCTAGGCACAAAATTGCATGGTGATTGCCCTGGCAATGCAGACAGGGCCGCCGATGCGGACAGTCTCGCTGGAGGTGACCTTTCAAACATGAGCAGCACCAGCGGCACTCCTTGGCGATAGTTCGCCTCGCCGGAACTGGCTTACCTAATAATTTCGGGCACGACGTTACCCGGTGATCAGATGCTCGACAATCGGAGCAGGGGGGGGGGGGGTTGACGACGACTTGCCTGGCGGATTCAGCCTCTCACTGGGCACGGCTCGTAAGTCGTCAACGGCGCCCGTCGCGTTCTCGATCTGCCGGCACTGCTCCTCCAAAAACCGCAGCAGGTCATAGAAGGGCGGAATATAGGAGGCCTCGTCCCCGCCGTACCTCTCCTAAAAATGGATTCGAAGGTCGAGACGTAGACGGGACAGCACGATGCGGAGCAACAAAAAAGCCCATTCGCCCACTGGTAAATCCAGCCGCCTCAACGTATTACAGGCCAACAAGACTGGATCCAACAGGTCTGGACGTAGTCTGGCCCGGTAACTAAGCAGCGGGAGGCTTAGAAGCTGCTTAACATGTTCGTCCGCAATTCGCCGGACGTTGGCGTATCTTCTGGCTAGGAGGTCCCTAGCAGTCTGGTAGGCGTCGCCTGACAATCTCAAGTGGGCGACGACGCCCAGGGCCTCCCCCTCCAGTGAGGCCAGGAGTTACGCCATCTTTTGGCTCGGGGTCAAGTCACTCCGGGCGTCTACTAGGCTATCGAAAAGACCAACGAAGGTCAGCTATTCGGAAAGGGCCCCGGAGAACTTTGGCAGGTCCAGAGTTGGGAGTCGTCCCAACAGCTCCGGCTGAAGCTGCTCCCGAGAGGACTCGGGCAGGCCACTCATCCGAGCTTTACGCGCCTCCTCGGCATACCTGCCTTCAGCCTCGATCAACTCGTCCGTGAGCGAAAAGAACTGATCATAGTCCGCGAAGCAGGAGTCCAGGACTCCCTTCTCTACATCCGAATCCTCGAGCTCAGCGTAAGCTTCCTCCACTGCGACCCTTCGAGCATCCACCTGCTCGAACCGCTTCATCAAGTTATGGACCCTTTCCGGTCGACCTATCAAAGCATGGGCGCTTGTGGCCCAGCGTAATTCAGTCCGCAGGCAACGGATTAGTAGCTTGGGCGATGTTATCACTACTAAATACAAATTACGACGCGGCTCGAGCACAAATTACAAAGATAACAAATAAAAAGTACAACAAAAAATTAACAGTTAATAAATGCAGTTCCTATCAAATCGAGTTAAATAGAAATTACACAAATACGAATTACTACGTATCAACCAAATACAAGTTAGCACAAAAGAAAAGACACAAATCAAATTAACAAATAACAAATACTAGTGCGATCAAATCAAGTTAAATTCAAATGGCGCAAATACAAATTACTACTCTTTAGTTCAAATACAAATTACAATACAAACGAAGATACACATCACGGTCGATCAACAAAAAATGCCTAGCTCGGAAATCGACCCTTCGATAAGTAATCCACTACAACTATCCGACAACGATAATTAACCGATTACGTAAAAATAACCATCTACCTACATGACGTATATCTCTAGAAAAACTCCCGCTTGCGCAACCTAGGGCGTGGCCCACTAACCAAAAAAAAGGCAAGCAACAAAGCAACAAAGGAAAATAATTTTAATATTACGTACAAAAAAAAAATATTTTTACGTATTACGGACGGGCGTGATTGTAGATACAAATTAAACCAATCAAACCAACGCTCCCTGCCACCAGAATTGTTTAATTTTTATCAAACACTATTGTCGGGATCGACCGGGGCATCGAATCCGGAACCACGCTCTGCTACCAGTTTGTTACGGCCTACGGCTGCTCCCTTAAAGGTCAAATCCTCAGGGGCCCATTCAGCTGAGTTTCGACGAGCAGACGTAGGTCGGGCCTCCTCCAGGCCAAAGTGGAAAATCTCCTAATTACACTAAACTATATGGGGGAGCGTTCTATACTATGGCCAGTCGACCGGGAGGATATTAGACAGAGCTTACTTACCTATATCCAAGGCGACTGGTCCCTCCGGAGTCGGTCATGTCGCATGTGGTTGTGTAGTGCAAGGGAAATAAGGTGATGTGATGTGTATCTGGGTGTGACTGATGGTGATTGACCCTAGACCTTGGCCGTCGGCAGCAGCCCGGGCGTCGACACCGCTCCAAATTGAGGGAACCTTCCGCGGCGTTGGCCACAGTCACTTTCCTCGTTCGTCACGATGACAGTCCATTAACTCTATAACTTACAGAAGCCACTAACTCTCGTTTGTTATAAGGATAACGCACAAAAAAAAAAACACGGAGTGTCCGGATCAAAGGTCACTACCGTTTCGCGTAGCAACAGTTATTTCTAGAATATCAAAGGCCGCACTAGCTAATATTGCCGAGTGCACTTATGCAGATTCTGAGTCATACACAATGAGTCCCTGGGAAGCTCTCCATCAAAGAATGCGCGTCATAAGTCCTAGACCGTTATTTACTGGCCGCGCCTAATTATTCCGAGTTTCCGACAAAAATGACAGCGTGCGGTTCCAAGCACAGCTGGCAGATGACTGACTTGCACTCGCGCGCGCTAGACACATCCAACTGTCAAACCGGATGGCACCGAGCCGCGCGCCCTCTAGACGTCGATTCCGACAACAGCGTTTGGCGCGAACACTCACTTTTACTTATGCTACAATAACTCAGCTCCTAGATTGACAAATCTTGCCAGATTTTCAGCTCTGAATTGTTTTTATATACGCTTTCAAATGGTCCTACTTTCATCTTGTTAACACTTGGGCCCAAGAATGTATGGAGACGTCTCCTTCTCCTTTTATACTTAAGTTCAAATATATAAATAATGACCTACCGTTATTGTAGTTTTTGAAAATACGAGTAAGGCTTCTACTTTTATTTAAAATTATCCCAAATTTAATGTGATTTATAGGCAACAATTACGCGCAACCGCGCTCCTCTGTGTTCGATTAAATTTACGTTTTTGCCTACCTAGCCACAGATTAAATAAACCGAGCGACCCTTACGAATGTGTCCGTGCATATAAAATAGTAGGCTTTAAGTATTTATTAATGACAGTTAAAATAATGCATTAGCACGCATTTTGAATTTAAAAGATAAAAAGGACCAAATGTTTGAGAATTCTTTTTCAATTAATTTTCTTCACCATTCGCCTATATTACTTATTCTGAACCTTCTCTGCAAATTTGGGCGTATATTGTAAAATAATCTTAAGTTAATAGTTATAAACCTTTTTAGGGATTTTATGATAGTAATTGGTTGTGTTAGTTTGGTCTTTTATCTGGTTTTTTTATCGATACTTTGTAATTTATAAATATTCACAAAAAAGTATTTACGCGTAGTATATAAATACAAAAATAAAAATAGGAAAGCAGGAGTTCAAAGGCTACTGCATATTGAAAAACTGTTTCAGGCAAACACGAACATTTTAGTTCGATGTTTGTTTTAATAGTTTATCAGTCATGCACGGATCCAGAAATCATCCGTGCGAAGTTGGGGTGGATCGCAAGTCAGATATACCTATAAAACATAACAAGAACTCGAACGACAATGTTATTTTACCACAACGAAATTATATTTTTTTTTATCTCATTAATGTAATGGATTTTAAAAACCATTTGATTTATAATATAATTGAGTATTTCATGTATGCGCATATTTTTTTCGAGCAATAAAATAGGGTCTAAACTACGATATTTTGTCCAACCTGATACCAGTGTCCAACCTGTTTGTGTGCGTAGGCCTTGGAAGCGGTCCCGATGGTCCAGAGCCTACGCACACTAACGCAATGTGTCTATGTGCACGGCCAACTACAACCAAAGTCAAACCTTCACCGTGAAATAGAATAACTATAGTGGCAAACGCTTTACGTGGCGTCGGCAGATTCAAATTTGGAAAACGTATATAATAGTATTTTCTTATATACCCCCGAGTGACTATAGAGAAATTTTTAAAGTCATGCAATACATTTGACACATCCTTGAAAAAGAAAAAAATAAACCTTACCTTAAAAGCGTCTCGGAATTTGTTCGACATGATGTGATAAAAAAATGGATTGATGCACGTGGACATGTAGTAAAAAACTCCTGAGATGTATGTGAGGGTAGAATAAACGCAGAGTAGGGTTGGAGATCTTGCTAGGTGGTCTTCCCGCGTGCCGTAAATCGCGACTAGCCTTTGCGCATGGAAGGGAGCCCAGCAGATGAAGAACGCAACCACCACGGCAACTGTGAATGTTAAATTTAATAAGTGTATTAAGTAATGGGATAAATATTTATTATTGTCTTCCTACTTTAAATATTGCTTAAAGCTATCCGATAGTAGTTATGTAAACGATATTATAAGTTTAAAGTTGGCATAATATACAAGTTGGTATTTGTCCACCCAACTGATGTAAGTGTGTGATGTAACTCTGGGATTAGGTTTTATTCACACAAAAATAAAATAAATAAAGCACCTTTACACTTTCCACTCATTTTAAACATCATCATCATCATCATTCCACCCATTCACAAGTCCACTGCTGAACATAGGCCTTCCCCAAGGAATGCCCCAAAGCATGTTCGTGAGCCACCTGCATCCATCGACTTCCTGCATATCTTACCAGGTCTTCACTCCATCTAGTGGGGGATCGCCCTAAGCTTCACATATCGGTACGAGGCCGCCACTCGAGAACCATATTTTTACCCATCGGTTGTCGGTTCTTCAAGCTATATGGGCGGCCCGTTGCCACTTTAGCTTACTAATCCGTTATCCTCATTTTTAAGTTTATCACGCAGAGAAACCCCGAGCATAGCCCTCTCCATAGCCCGCTGTGCAACCTTGAGCGTTCTCATACAACCACGTCTCAGATCCATAAGTCATCACTGGCAACACGCACTGGTTGTAAAATCTAGTTTTGAGATGTGCTTGACGAGATGTGTCGTAATCTCCCGAACGCTGCCCAGCCTAGTTGAATCCGTCGATCGACCTATCGGTCGAAGTGTGACTAACCTAGTTAGACTATTTGTCTCAGGTAATCCCAATAACTACAGACATAGGTGTGGAATTTATTACGATTGGATTTTATGGGTAGTATTTTTTTTACGCGGAATCCTAATTCATTTTCTAAAATAAAAGTAGCCTAAGTTACTCCTTGTGACATCAGCTATCTGCCAGTGAAAATTCCGTCAAAATCAGTCCAGCCGTTTCGAAGATTAGCCGGAACAAATATACAGAGAGACGGATAGACAGACAGATAGACAAACAGACAAAAACTTTAAAAAAACGTATTTTTGTTATTAGTACCGTATATACTTTCCTATGCATTTAGTAAAAAACTGTAATTTTGACATTACAAACAGACACTTCAATTTTATTTATTTGTATAGATTACAGTTCTTGTATTATAGTGTTAGTGAGTCGATCTAAATGTATTGTCGAACGCATCGCTTTCTACGACGCACGCGTAGCAATACTTTCCTTTCTTTTGTTTTTTTGTTTAGGTATTTTTTTAAAAAATGAATAAGATTACTTATTCATTTTTATTAGCGAGCGCTAACCATCTGAGCCGTGGTAGCTCAGATGGTTAGCGCTCGCTGTAAGCTTCACAGTACTTGAGCAACCCGGGTTCGATCCCCACCGGCACCACTGAAATTGTTAATTGCAATTTCAAGTGCTGATTTACCACGTGCTCGGCGGTGGAGGAAAACATCGTGAGGAAACCTGCATGTCTGAGAATTAAGGAAAAAAATATTTCGAAGACATGTGAAGTTCGCCAACACGCGTTGGGGCAGCGCGGCGGACATTTCCTTGCCCTAAGACCCTCTCAGAGATGAGAGGAGGCCTGTGCCCAGCAGTGGGACGTAAATAGGCTGCAACTTTACTTTACTTTATTCATTTTATTTAGAAACAGTCAACACCTATAGTCCGCGCGCTACTAGTTTGTCGCGCCTAAGGTGGTGACAGGGGTGAGGCGGGGGTTGCTTAATGAACGGGACACACGTGAGATTAAATATTCAACACCCAGATTTATTTATCTCAAGATATCGCACTTTGACTAAAATAGATACGTATCAGACTTACTACACTATTATTTTCTTAAACTACTCCTTACCATAAGTAATGAGTAGTTTAAGAAAATAACATAACCTCTGCTGCATCGATATATTATTATATGTACTACGTACTAGATTGTGCATTCCGAACATACACTATGTTCAACTGAACTGTACTGCTATCCGTACAGTGTCTCATTTAGTACAATCTACTAAATAGTCTGTGGTTTCAATATTCATGCAGTGTAGAGCGGCGCTAATACTACAAGATTTTAAATTAAAGTTTAAGCCTGGACGTAAATAACAATGAAGTAGTCAAGTAAGTTTTTTTTGTTCAAGTGAATAAATAGGTAATAATATCGTAATATTACAAAAGAAAAAATCATGAAAAAATATATTTCTTTATAAACTGACCGCGCAGGCGCAACGCGATTAAATCAACTGCGCATGCGTGACTTTAGTATCTCCCGCGCATGCGCGAAGACATAGAGTAGTACACATTTTTTGTTTAGAAAGGCTTCTCTAGTACATAGTACATATAACTCAATGCTCTACTGTGTGTGGCTGTCATCCAGAGCGGTAGACAGATGAATTTCATTAGGAAGGATCTCGATACACGAAGAATTAACGTTATAATCTGTTATTGTTAATTCGCATTATACCAGCGTTGGTTATTATCATAGAAGTATTAGGCTTAGAATCGCAGTAGGCGTACGCAAAGTGAATCCATTTCAAGTTAGCTTTTAAAGGCTAAGTACGACTTTTGGCGCGTCAGTACTCGAGTCTCTCTGACTAGTATACAGTTATCTGTGCTCTAGAAAGGGTGTCACAACTCATCACATAATCACGAAAAAAATGTAAAAATCTCATTTCACGGGTAATTACTGCCTAGCATCTAGTGTTTCTATATAGTTTGTGCTAGCATCTTATATTTTTGTAAAACACATTCATCAAAACACAATAATAAATAATAAATTTGACAGACGCCAATATAATGAAAATGTTGCTAGGCATAGTAAAATATTTTACCCCATTTTTTCTTATTATTATAATTATAAAAAAATGCATATTGAAAAAAATACATACATAGTGCCAATAGTCTCATTCACATAGAAATAGGTATTTTTAATTGACAAATATTATTAGAGTTCCCATTTGCCACAAAAAAATGTGTTGATTTTATGTTGTTTTGATAATGTGCAGTTGTTCTTACCCTTTTATGGTATGTGTTTTAGGATAAATAACATAGCCTTTGATTGTTTCTTTTAATTCTAATTTACATATATTTAACATTTTTAGTTCGATTCTTTTATGAATCTAAAAAGGATGACATTTCGAGGATAGCATCATCAAAGCGGCAGTTGTTTAGAAAACAGTTATAATTTCAAGGTCATTAAGAGATATATTTTTTTTAAGTACTTGAATATATTTTATTTTATATTATTTAATAAACATTTTTAATTTCATGTTTAATTTGAATAGTTTATATCTTTCCGAATCTTATTTTGTTTTAATGCAAAATATAATATCCAATAAACTAATAATAATAATCACTTGAAGCTGACCGCATTCTTAAGCCTCGTGATTCCTTCTAATATTATATCCATTCTTTGAAAGTTGTACGTTGTAACCGTTACGTTGAAACCGATTTAAATAAAATATATCACGTAGATTCTTAGAATGGCAAGAATCGAGATCAGTGTATGCTTTAAATTGCGGGTGAAGCCGCGGGCCACAGCCACCGTTAGTAATGAATAACTAATGAAAAAATATCTGACAGCTAAAATGATTATCTGACAATTATTCACTTGTTATGTGTAAGTGGGGCTGGATTGGAAAAACTAGAAGAAATGGACGTAGGCATTTGCCTCCTCCATTTCTTCCACTTCTCTATATATTATAGAATAAAGCCATTTAGTTTTATATACAAATTAATATTTACAAATAATATAAGATTTTATGGAAGATAAATAACAGATACTTATATAAATATATAAATATACCACTTCTAACAGAATAATATAATTACATAATAGATTGGTGAATATAACACAAGATATAACGTATATAAATAATTTAAATATTACATAAGTTAACAAAAATAAATAATGTTACATTTTTCTCTTTGCAAATAGTTAACAATTAATTATAAACGCAACCTAAATATTAATTCTATGACTATGTTCACTATTACATTTTGCCCACTTTTTGGGGAAAATGTCATTAACTTGCAAACATTACTCATTTGCTTGTGTACGTGTGGGCATACGTAATTACAGGCCGCTTATCCACACATTCATTGTGTTGTTGCTTCAACTTTGAATGGAATTTTGAATGACACTATCACTCTATGTGTAATTACTCTAAGGTTATTATCGATAAATCCAAAGATTGCTTTAGGAGTTCGTCGCTTAAATGCGTTGTCAGTTTTAAGCAATTATTTCATTAGGAAATCATTCGTTTAATTGTTTACGTTAAAATTAAAGAATATTTTATTTCTTAAAAAGTTTAATTAACATTTGTTTTGTTTATGATATTTGATATATACGAGTATCCATTCTGTAATCATATTGGCTCTCTTTACCGTTCATACTGGAACACAGCAGCGCACGCACTGCTGGTTGGTAGTAGATACGAGTATAGGTGGTACCAGACTGACTCCTAGGTAGAAAAGTAGTTCTACCGCCTAGTAAAGTCTAGTTAAATTCTAGTTGTTTTTCTCAATAAAATAATTGAATATGATTTTTACGGAAATATTTTTATTTAGATTTTTGTTTGTCGACATAATTGAAAAAAAGTTGGCAACTCTATGCCATTATTTTCGGTCTTAACGATCACTTGCGATTACAAACTTTTTACTCGGATCAAATTTTAGACACCTCTACGAATTTTGGTAAGGCTATTTTTATCATTTCGACGAAACATTTTGGAAAAGACGGCTTCGTCGTAGCAGACATTAGCTTAGCAATGAGTTGTAGCGCTGGTGGCCGTGGGTTCGAATCCCTCACGGAACACGTATTTGTATGGTCTACAAATGATTGTTCCGGGTCTGGATGTTTGTCCTTGTGCAATATATGTCTACCTCCACGATACAAGAGAAAATCCTAGTGTGGGGATAACGTATTTGTAAATAATAAAAAAAAAACATTGGGCTAGTTAAGCTAAAAATGAAAGAAGCGTTGCTTATCTCT